GCTGAGACCAGGTTGAGGCGCAGGAGAGAGCTGACGAGCTGGGATTGAGCGTTGCCAATGAACGAGTGAGACAGGAACAGCCCCAGCCCTCCTTTATTTTTCATGGTGTACAGTGGCACTCTGACCATTCCTAGCACCTGGAGGGTCAGGGATAGTTAGGTGAAAATGGCTACAGTAGCAGTTGCATCATTTTCTTCAACACTTCAACCGATTCACAACTTGCCTATCCTCGACACTGGACCAAGAAAAAAAACAAAACACAGAGAAGCCATGTCTAAATAAATAAATAAATATGTACTATATTGATCCCATATTTGGGAAATTGTTGTGTTAGCAGCAGATATGCTGTTAACTGGCTGCCCCTAGCAAGTGCCAAGCATGTGGTTCTTCTGGGAATCAAACCCAGGACTCTCGAGGATGGTGTGCTAACCGCTACACTACGGAAAGATTGAGTTAAAACCATTCTGGTCAAAAAATACTAAAAATGCTAAATGCTACAATTGCCTTTTGGTCCATTTATAAATGTTTAGTTTATCTGAATTTCTAAGAATAAATAAAAATACATTTCCAACCACTAAAATCAAACTCTCAGTCCAGAAGCAGATACTCCTACTTCATTCCTAGCATGTGTGGAAACCAGAGTTGGTACCTCCTTCCTGCTAATTCCTGTTGAAATGTGCCCTTGTTTTACTGTTGGCTAAGCAGGGCATTTAAAAAAAAAGGCGCTAATTAATCACCTTGTAATTACTTCACAGACAGTTCAAAGAGTTATAACAGTGGCATACCATCAAGATTCTCTGCTGGCCTAAACAACATCAGAATCAGTGACCCATGTATCAATATATTTATCATAAATATCTAAGAAGTAATACAGTATTAGTATTCTGTTGTCATCATTCAGTCCCGCTCTCTTTTCTCTGTTTGTGCTGCTTTCAGTTCTGTATCCTCAGGTTTTTTTTTTATCCAATCATATGTCAGCCTCACGTGTTGCCAGGGTGAAAAAAAATCAGTAGTGTGGGCACTGAGAGCCTATAATGAATGGCAATAAAATTGTTTCTTGAACCAATCAGATTTTGAGATGGCCACTGCAAGGTCGTCCAGCAGGATTACAGTGAGTGATTTGACTGGATGGTCAGAGACTAGAATCTACCAAACTGCATCCAGCAACCACAGGACAGACTGGAGACTCAGCATTAACATGGATGGAGGTAGAAAAGGACTTGTTGTCAGAACTGGACAGTGTCATTGAACCCATCACCCATTTTGTCTTTTTTAATATTATTGTAAATGTATTATATTATTATTGCTGCTTTCAGAAGTAAAGTTTGTCTCAGCCGTGGCTGAATTGTGCGTCGTTGGTTTGTTGCTTTAAGTAATGATGTTATTATGGCTACATGAGTTATCTAGGTCATAACTACTCATTATACATTTCTGCTTATCGATGGTTCCTATTAACATACAGAAGATGTGTCATGTGATGTGGATTTGTTCAGGCAGGACGCCACTGAGAAATACATGTAAGAAATACACGGAACATCTATGAATTACAGCCTGTGTATTGTGAGTCTGGATAAAACACCAGTCGAATACATAGTGTACATTTGTCCAGGTCGTCCTACTTAAACCACTACAAAATCTTTTTTTTCCTCTTGTTACCTCCAGTCCATGATCTGAGGCTGTCGACGCAGCTGCTTTCTCCACCTCAAGGATCTGCTGCTCCTCCATCTTCTTGACGTAGAAGTGAAGGATCAGACGAGATGATGAGAAGCAAGAGGCTTGTGGAGGGGCAAAGCATGCCTCCACATGGTATTCTTCTGATATAGGAATAGCGACACCCAGCTCCTCTAACAACTCCCTGCTGAGGCCGTCCTCCAGGGTTTCCTTCGCTGGATTAACGAGGCTGGGAAAAAAAAAAGAAAAAAAGGTCATGATCAAATGGGAGAGTACATTAACAATTATAACACGTGCTGTCATGAGGTTTACAAATAATTAAATGGTCCATGTATATGTTTTCAAAGCGTGTCAAGGGGAACCTTGTTAATGCAGAGCGGAACAAAGTCCAACTTCTGCTGGACAGTAATTGTGACTGGACCCAATTGCTGCTCAGTCAGCAACCTGGAAAACTGGAGCTTTTAGAACCCTCAAGATACTGGTCATAAAGAACCTGTTACTGATAGGCGTATATAGTTTGCTCAAACTTTGTAAATAATAACAATATGCCAAAACTTTTTTACGGTGTTGGGTCCTCTCTGTTTGGACTAGGGATGGCGTTGATCCAATACCCAGAACAGTATTGTTCCAATATTGGTCAAAATTTCAGGATAAGCTTTTCTAAAGGCTCAATAAAATATATGTATATATATTTAAAATAATCTATTTCTGAAAGAGATTTCAAACAAAACTGTCTAGGGTAACCGTATTGTGCATTCAGTCTAGTTCTTGTGCAATTTTTTAAATCTTGTCTTTACTTATACATTTTTCAACATTGCAAATGCAAAGCCGAATGCATTTTATACATCCTGAAGAAAAAAAAAACCCGTCATGAGGTAATTTGAAAGTCAAAGATATTTGTTCGCCATTAGTTAAGCTAAACGCTGTCTGTTTGGCTATTTAATGTAACAATCGTTTAACTGTTTAATTTACCTCGGGCTTTTGGCTTGACAGTTTCCTTGAATCAATACCATTATGTGAAAGCATACTTACTCGGAAAGCACTTCAATGCCTGCAGTAATATCTGGGAGCTATTAAGGAACAACTAGTGCCTAATTGCTCTAAAATGTAGCAACTGTTTTCTCCCGACAAATTTGCAAATAGAAATTTTCATTTTGTTTTAAACATAATGTAACTCCTACTCCTTCCCTCCAGGGTATGCTAACTGCAATTTAGACTAACAAAACAAGAAAACATTTACCATGGTCTTTTCATATTTCAATGGAAGCCCCCCACGCCTCCTCGTCACCTCATCACACGCCCGCCCCACTATTTGAGAAATTCTGGCTTAAAGCAACGTTATAATTGTGTAATATTACTATATATATATATATATATATGTACACACATATTTATATATATGTGTATATATATATATATACACACATGTACATATATAGTAATATATAGATATACATACACATGGAAATTTGTGATGATAAAATCCCCCATATATATGGGCGATATGTTCCTTAATTAATCTAGAGCTAATCTTAATGTATTTTAGATGGACAGATAGACGGATAGATAGATAGATAGATAGATCACTGTGACCTTAGTGCGGTGCCATATACAGTAGAATCGATGAAATTTACAGCAATAGTAAAAGGAAAACAACTCGTTTTTTTTCTCAGTAAAGTAAAGTAAATATAAAAAAACGGTAACATAGACAAATCATGTAGGAATACTCACCCGCCAGGGAAACCCAGTAGACCATCGAAGCGCATCTGCATCTGCAGCAAACACACTAGTAGTACTAAGAACAGCTCTTTACAACAAGCCTTTTTTTTAAATAGCAAAAGTCATGGTTACTGTGTCTGTTAGCGTCTGCATTATGGGACATACAGCAGTAAAAAGCCTCAGAGTTGTGAGTCCTTACACATCAATGTTTTTTAATGCTGACTAATCTGTCCTATTTCATCTGGTCGTCCAAAAAATTACCTTAAATTACCTTAAAAATTAAATGATCTTAAAGCACCTTAACTAAATTATTCAATTTCAATTTAAATAAATATTAAATAATATTATAAATAAATAAAATATAAATAAATAATTAAATAAATAATATTAAATATTTAAAAATATTTAATATTAAATTGTTATCATTAAATTATCTTAAAAATGAAATGATCTTAAAGCACCTTAACTAGCCCCACAATGATCTTTTTGTGCATTGACTAACTTCAAACATTTTGGACAGGAGAGGATGTTAGGCAACTCTTGCCTCTGGCAGTTGACACTTGACAGTGTTACAGTGTAACTTTTGATTAACAGAAGCTAAAATAAACCCACAAATGTCAGCTATAGTGGCGTGATGATTGTCTGCAGGTAAAGAAATTGGACAAAGTTATAGGGTTGAAGCAAAATGAGACATGAATGTTTGACAGAACCTTGTGAGACCTGCCCCAAGCTATCAAATACTGGCTCACTTTTAATAATTTTTTTTTTGCAGAGACTAGCATGAGACCTGTTTAGGATTTAGGCATTTTTGGCCAGATCTGCACAGCATCAAGTATAACTTTTTACTTATATCTTACAAAACTCAGAAGGCTCAGTTTTACTAATGTACTGATGTGAATGAGGTCTAGCACACTGCTAGCATTGTAATGTAATGTGATGAATTGTAATAGCATTTTAGTTGACACTGTCCATGTCACACTTCTGCACTTCTTTTGATGTTGTACTTTTTATTACTTAAATAGACTTAAGAAGTCAGGCGACTGGCGTAATTTGTCGCATACACACACTCGCACACAGACACACACTGGCGTAATTTGTCGCATACACACACGCACACAGACACACTTGCTGTTTCTTACCAGTACAACATGCCGAATGGGGATTTTCCCAAAAAGCTTGCTTTCAGTGTCAGAGTAGAGCATGACATGACAGGCATGTCTGCAGCCTGAGCACAACAATGCCTCAGCCCTGGACATCTGTCCACTCGCCATCTACTGGTGGAAAAAAAAGACAAAAAATTGAGAAAAATAAATTAAATAAAGCCTAAATCTTAGTGTATTAGACGGATGTCTTCTATTTACATACAGTAGCTGTGAATATAGTTTACATGCACACCCAGGTCACACTGATGAAACATCTTTAACTTCAGTTTGGCTCATTTCTAATTTTTCATCCATCCACCCATAATATACCGCTATATATCGGGGTAAGGGGTTAGGGTCTCGAACAAATCTCAGCTGTCAACTGTTTTTTTGCCCCAGGGTTAAATGTCTGAAATTTTTTTCACGGACCGGCCTTTAAGATGCGCCAGAACTGTTTTTTTTCACGGACCGGCCTTTAAGGTGCGTCAGAACTGAAGAAGTCTTTTGGGTGAGAGGTGAAACGTCTTCAAGAAACCTACTCCGTCCATTTATTGATATAACTATTTTTTTGGGTCTTGACATGTATCAAGTTTCAGTCCTAAACAGATGCAGCGGAGAGCATCCGGTGTTTTTTTCAAAATAAAACGTTGTGAATCAGATAATAAATAAAAAGGAAATGATGTAAGTTATGCAAGAATGTGTAAGCTCCATACACACAGAAATAGAGATAGATATATAGAAATAGATATCCACCAGGGTTCTTGTTGGAACCCTGGTGGCAAAACCCGTGATCTTTCTGGAAAAACAAGCGTTCAAACAGCATTAACCACAGTGCACCCATACCAGGAAACGCTTTGGTCATTTCTGGGTTCAACTTCAACTTTTCTCGCTTACTTTTAAAATAACTCACAGCGACGGCAAATTAAGGGATTTCTGGGCCTCTTTTCCGACACAGATTTAAAACACCAAAATAACTGGTATCTCGTTTAGTACACCACTTACTTCAGGTGGCCTGCGTTATTTAATTTTCTGCTGAGTCACTGCTATTCTTGAGCTCGGTGCAACATCCTTCCCTTGTTGTATGCGCTGACGAAATGGGTGCTGATTGGTTAAACGTAATAAGAGGTATTTGTCCGAATGACGTAGTCCCTGAACCTATGCGGCTGAGCAACAACGACCAATCAGCACAGGCCAGGGACTGACTGTCAGTATATCATTGCTACAGCAACGGAAGCGCTGTCTCCGCCGTCATTCTGAGTTCACAGGTTCTCCGTTTTGCTGCCTCGCGAATAGTTCTGGTAAAGTTTATAAAAAAGGCAAGTGCCCTTGAAATCAAGCGTCACATAGCTGGAACCAAACAAAACGGAAGACGAGTTAAAAGAGCTAAGAATCTGAAGGTAAGAGGCTAACTGTGTTAGCTCATAACATTATCCATATGATAAACTTAAATATAAGCACATTTTCTTCCTATTCACATTAGAAATACACTATTTGCGCAACAGATGTTGCTGCTATTTAATTGTCTAATAATTGCGGTATTACACATGTTAGAACTGATGGAGAATCACAGCATGACATTGGCAAATTTATGTAGTTATTTCCAAAAGGATAATTTTTTTAACCATTGGAGGACAGTTATAATTATAGACATAGAAAAAAAATGTTTTTAAATACGAAGTGCATATTTTGTTTAAATGTATTTTATAACTTAAGCTTTAATATAAATCATTTTTGTGATATGGGTCAAACTGTTACCACTGTTAAAATTTGTATAAAAGTTGAAGCTAAGAACTGCCTTTTAGGTTTACTCTTTAACAATGAAAAAACCAAACAAATATATTTCATTATGCATACATCCAGGACCACGAATAAAGTTTGTGAGCTGCACAAATAGTGCAAACTCATGAATGCATTAACAACAGATCTTAAAAAAAATCCACTTTTATCAGTGGACTAACTCCTTATCCAACACGTCACAGAACAAAGATCATGATCACTACATCTTCCAAACACTGCTTTATGTATAAGAAAACACTTTTATCAGTGGACTAACTCCTTATCAAACACGTCACAGAACAGAGATCATGATCACTACATCTTCCAAACGCTGCTTTATGTATAAGAAAAACTGTTGAAGAACTGTTGTCACCCAAACATTCCAGAAAACCTGTTTCATGCTGCAATAAAAACAGTTTACACAGTAGTAATAATAGTAATACAACTGCTTTGTTGTAGTTTTTTGTGCCAGCAGAGTCAGGATGGAGCAGCTGATACCAGAGGAGGTTCTGACCAACGCTACTGTGATTGAAAATTTGGTGGCTGTGGCCAAAGATGCAGCGCTGCAGCATGGTGTACTTATGAGGATCCAAGAGGCTCCAAACTCATCTGAGGTAAGAAGTAATAACACATTTACAAACAACTTTTTCCCCCTATATGTGTCATGTTGAAATGTCTTTTCAACATGATCATATATGACTTCAAAGTGACAGTAGCCCCTGAGACCATACATGAGGACATGTGAGGACATGTCAGGAATGAACTCAATTGGAAAAAAGCTGATTCCATTCCAGGCATTCCATGGCCCGTGACAATTCTTTGATTTGTTTAAAAGTACTTCAAGTCCAATATGCGTGAAACAGGAGTAGACAAACTAATAAAAAAACTAATTAACTCGACTTAATGGAAGCCGCTGGATAATGTTGAACTGAAATAAGCATTTAAATAAGGATCTTACACATGTTCTTACTGACTATTATTTTAGAAAATCTGCAATTTCAGTAAGGTGGCAGAACAGCACAAAATACACAACTAAAGTATAATAAATTTATAATAGAATCTCTTTAGAATAGCCTGAAATTGTTCCCGTATCAGATTTCTGATGTAAGCTTTTAACTTAAACCT